CTTCCATACCCTTTATTTCTTAATATCTAGTAATGTGATGTTTAAATTTTACAATTTTCTCCTTATTTGTAGACATTCAAATACATGCTATATTTTAATAGCCCATATTCAGAAAATGTACTAAAACCTTGCATTATTGTAAAAATAGGTGCTTTTCAAGTTTTCTAACTAGACAGTCTCATTATCTGGGACTGGTACCAGTTTTACTTCTTTGCCAATTTATTTCTTCCCTTCTTGCTTTGTAGCACACTGTCAGGTATTCTAAAGAGGTCGATTTTGAACTGTTAAACTACACACATTCCTGGCTACACCCAATCAGGATGTGCAAACTCTGATGTATATTGTCAGATATGGTTTGATGACATTCTGCTTAAGTGGTTTTGCATAATTTTAATTTAATTTAAAGTTTTATTTCTCATCATTAGGTTTTGTGACCAAGGTTGTAACTAACTAGTTCACTATCTCACACTCCTCAGATTTTATCACATTTCTGACACCAAAGCCGTGTGACTGTTATTCTATGTCTGAAGACAGAACTTCTGGGGCATTTGCTATGCCTGGTAATGATCTACCTCATCTTTCTTGCACTTCTTTTTTCTCCCTACTTCCTTATATGTCCACACCCCTTCCCACCTTCCTTTCTCTCCTCCTCTGCAGCTGTTTGTTACTCATAGTGTTTTCTTTCCCTTGTAGTTTATACTTTGAAACTGTAAATTCTTATTTCGCAAAAAACAACCTTTAGGCTTTAATTTGAAGTGAACACACCCAAGAAATGATGTGCTTGTACTTCTTGTGAAATTCAGCACATATTTAAACTGCTTTGGTGATAATTTCTCACATAAGATGTTTTCTTCCTTGCTACTTAGGAATAAGCTCTATCACTGATTTTCCACAGGGTAGATTTATTTCCATCTACAGAGTTGCCCGTGGTATTCCAGCTGAACGATGAAGTTCTCCGATTAGCCATTTAACTTAGAGTATGGATGGCATTTTATCCACAATAACTCCAACTAATACCAACCATAGTATCATTAAAATAACTATGCATTAAGGACAAATGTGATGGTAAGGTGGATGGAAGAAGCCAGATATAAACGAACACTTTACACTTTAGATTTATTTGATTCAAATGATATTCTAGTACTGGCCAGATTATCCTCTAGTATGAGCAAGAAGACTGGATGGTGCTTCTGGCTGAGAGTCTGCAAGGCAACTGTTTGGGGCAAGAGAAATGTCCTCCAATGTGGTGGGGAGATACTGCTTTCTTATCAAACTGCTAGCTTTTTAATACCTTAAAACTGGTGGATTTTATCATACTCAAATTGTTCCTCATTGAAATTGATTTCAAAATGGTGCCATAATAAGAGTATTAAATTATACATCTAAGATCTATGTAGTCCTCTTTTATGTCAGTCTTATCTGTGTAAAATAGCCATTTAAATCCCTTTTGAATTAGGGACTCCAGAACTCAGAGTTGTAGCTTCGATATCAATTTCCAAGGCCTGGAGCACTTGCGGAGGCAGGCAAAGAGCTGCCAGGTAGAGGCCTGCACATATATAATGTTTATAATGCCCTAGTGGGCATCCACTCTTTATTGCTTGTGAAAATTCACTTGTATGACCGAAGATTATTTCTAAATTAACACATTTCTAAGTAGAAGAAGGGCATTCCTGAAGTACAGATCTTGACATTATTCAGGTTATTTTGACTACTGTGTTTCTACTGCAAGCATGCAAGTAAAAAGTCATGTTCACATGTGAAGGAGGGAAAAGCTGGTGGTGCCGAGTCCCAGTGCAGCAAGGGTGAGTATGTTTGTGCTTCCAGCCCCGTCACTGCATCCCTCTCCAGTCTCACTCTGCATGACACTGATTCTCCTCCAGCTTCCTATGCAGTTCTTTTTTGCTCTCATATTGTCCACTACAAGTAACTCTACTTTCCATTCTTTTCATTTTAAAACTAAGTTATATGTTAAATGTATTCCTTGAGAAGTCCATATATGTGTACTATAAGATCGTATGCGCCCCTACAGTCTCCCTCCAACCTCTCCAGAAGCAGTGCCCACATGTCCTCTCCAAACTACATGTCTTCTCCTTTTTAAAACAGTAACTCACTGGTCAATTACTGCTGCCACTGAGAAATGGGTGACCTACCAAGGAACACACTTGAGGGGCAGGGAAATCCTCTTTGCCAGAAGCCATCAACTACAGCCAACAGCTCCTCAGAGGGCTAACATCCTTTCCTTATAAAAGTCCTGGAAAGGCTAGAGATAGAGGGAAGACATCTCAACCTAAGGAAGGCTGTATATGACAAACCACAGCCACCATCACGTCAATGGAGGAACACTTGAGACATCCATCAGGAACAGAACAAGGGCATCCATTCCCATCACTCTCATTTAAAATAGAGCCTGAGTTAAACAAAATCAGGCAAGGAAAAAAAGGGGGCACAAACAGGAAAGGAAGCCAAAGTATCCCTACTTGCAGATAATGTGACTCTACATATAAGGAACTGTAAAGATTCCACCAGGAAATTCCTAGAGCTGATGTTCTTTCTTTACAAAGTGGAAGATTACAAAGCATTGTGCTCTAATCAGCAGTTACCTCCCTACCCACAAAAATCACACACTGGAAAAAGAATCAAGGAAATAATCCCATTCATATTAGCCTCAAAAAGAAAGAATACGTTGGGATAAACCAGCCAAGAATATAAAGTACCTAATATGAATACTTTAAAATATTGATGGAAGAAATTGAAGAAGACCTTAAAAGACAGAAAGAACCCCTATGTTCATGGATTGGTAAAATTAATACTGTAAAATATATTCATTTAACCAAAAGCAATGTATGGATTCAGGTAAGGAAGCAAGAAATGGGATAAAATACCAACAATTGCGACTTCATGAAACTAAAACCATCTCTGTACCACAGAAGAAGTTATTAACTGAAGAGGCACCTACAGAATGGGACAAAACAGACAGAAGATTAATGTCTAGAATATATGAAGAATTAAAAAAAAACTAAACACTAAGAAAATAATAAATCCAACTTAAAAATGGGCTATGGAACTGAACAAAGAGTTCTCAAAAGAAGAAATACCAACAGGTAAGAGATTTTTTTTTTGCTTATTTTCTTTTGCTTTTCAAGAGAGGATTTCACTGTGTAGCTTTGGGTGTCCTGGAACTTTCCCTGTAGACCAGGCTGGCCTTGAGCTCAGAGATTCACCTGCCTCTTCCTCCCAATTGTTGGGATTAAGGCCTGTCCCACCATGCCCAGAGATGAGAAATATTTTTAGAAGATAGTGATAAATATTTTTTAAAGTGTACAACATCCTAAGCCATCAGGAAAATGCAAATGAGAGCTATTTTCCAAATTTATTTTTACTTTCTTGATATGATTCAATTCTGTTCAATTTCTTGGTTTTGTCTACTTTTCCCAGTGATGCAGTCATTCCTGTGAGAAGTAGAAATCAACTAACCATTGATAATTGTGACTGACGAGACAATAAGTTAATGGAAGATACTTATGAGCAAAAAACAAAAATGTTGGGATGCCCATGGTGCTATTGGCTCATTAAAAAGAGAAGACTCTGAGTTTAGCTTCTGAGAGAACCCCAGAGGACTTGGTGAAGAGACGAAGCTCAAACAGAGCCCTGAAAGGCAAAGAAGATGATGTAGACATGCAAGACAACCAAGAGTCTCTGCAGTGAATGCCAGTCCAGGTAGACAAAAGAACAAGCCTCCCACTGCACAGTGACCACTCTCTGGAAGGCAAGTGGCTTTCATTATGTGATTCAGCACTTCTCAAGTCTTTCGGTAAAAATTACATTCAACTTTGAAAACTTTTTTTTTGAAAATAAAATATTTTCAAAGTTGGATAATATCATCTATATTAGTCCACATGCCAACTCTTTTGACTTCAGGCTCTGTAGTTTTCAGAGTGATACAGAATCACTTACACACACCACCGGGCAGACAAAGTCTATGCTTTCAGATAAATATGTTGGGCTAGAAGGATCTGACAAGTAAGCTTTCTGTTGCTTTAGGATCTAGCACAGAAATGACTAATGTTATTCGGTGGCAGCCAGAAAGAAAGGGACAGGAAAAATATAATTAAATCATTTCCATTATAATTCTTATAAACCACACAGGTTTATAAGGAAATGAGGTACGAAAGGAAGACCATGCAGAGGCAAAGGTTCCTGCCCTAACTCTTACTCTCCATGCCTCTGACTTTTCACTATCTGTGATCAGCATTATACACAAAGAATATTCTTGAAATTCAGAGTGGAGTATAGGAGGATGTTCAAGAAAAGGTACAGTCTTCAAAAGCATGTTTTCTAAGAATCTCATGATTGTGTGTTCCAATGATGGAGATCAGTAAAAATCTCAGATTTACCAACGAAACAATATAGTTTAAGAATCACAGCCTCTGGACCACTCTTAGGATTCAGCTCTGTGTTGGCAGACTCCTCTCATCAGGACCCTATGAACCACACACAAGTCTGCTGGGTGCGCCACTATTTTTATGACTAATTAAAGTTCATTACCTATTTTTGTCTGTCTATTCTGTATGTTCATCCAAACATATAGTGAAAACTTAAGAAATTAGTTAATATCAGAAGATTCTTTTCTAAAACAAAAACAAAAACAGATTTAAGCAGAAAATAAATTGTTATGTAGGCTGTAAAACATAAGCACAGTCCTAATACTGAGTTTCTTTGTAAAGTTTCCCCTCTTTTTTTTGAATCACAAAACATTTAAAGGATTAGGGGTTAAATATACCCGTGGTTAAGAGGAAGTGAGTCCATCTTACAGACTTGCACATGAAATGCGCGTTCTATTTTTCTAACCATGATTTTCAGATTATTATTCAATACACAAAACGCACAGCTCCAAAAATGCTTTTCAGGGAATAGGAAGTTAATAAGACTTGTAGAATATTTAATTTCACACACCAAGCAAGAGCGTACAGATAAGCAGATTTTTCTGCCAAAACACAAACCTTAAGGAAACGGTTGTTATTGTTATTGCAGTTGCCAGACATTCCTTGCAATTCAGCCACAGTGCTCTAAAAAGTTGACAGAAACAATTAAAGAAGGCTTCCCCCAACCCCAACAGCAGGATAGAAAAACATCAAGGTTCAAGTGTTGGCTGGACCCCACACTGTCCAGTACAGAGAAGAGAGTACTGCACCTCCTCGCCAGTTCCCTAGGTCGCAGATACAGGGTGGCGTCTCTCTGCATTGGTATATGCACAGTGTTAAAAGGTGAGCAACAAACATTGCTATCTCTTCCTCACCCACAACAAGCTGTTTCTAACGAGGAACAGCAAACAGCCTGAGTCAAACTCAGTATTAGCCCGACAATGTTTTCCCCACAAAAAATTACTTTTGTAAACCATTTTTAATACTTATGCAACACAGTTTCCATTAAACTTTTGCTTCCAATTGTTACATGCTAACAGAAGCAATAAAAACAAATATTCCTGTGGGTATTTCATACCACACATGAAAAGATTCTAAGAAGCAAAGTGTCACAATATTTTAAAATGATATGGAATTCTAGCAACAAAAACAAATAATAAAAGAAAAGGATAAGTTGTATTTTAAGACAGAGCTGTTTTCTGCTGCTGATGAATCATGTTGCCTAGAGAGAGGTTGAAATGTCATTTGTGATATATGCTTTACAATGTGACAAACACTCCATTATCAAAGGATCTTTGAGGAACTAAAATAATCATAAAAAGTTTGTAAGTTAACTCCTCTTAACTTAGTGTGACCATACCCTATTTTCTGAACCAGAGATACAAGTGCAGTTAATATTGTTTCCAGCCTGAGCTCACAGCACTTCAAACTGCATACTGTTTTTATGTAGAAATACAGCCAAAATACAAATATACTCCATAAAGTAAATAACAGAGCAGCATCACCTAGCCACTGTCGGGTGAACATGGACAGTTACAGATTATAATGGGAGATTAAATGTTAAATTCTACTTGAAAATTTTACCATAGACCCAGTGTTTCATGGCATGGTGTTAACTGAGGGTTTTTATTAAATCCTCCATGGTTACCTTTCAAATTGGAAAGAAAGAAAAGGGAGAAACAAAGAAAGGGAAGGAAAGGAAAGGAGAGGAGAGGAGAGGAGAGGAGAGGAGAGGAGAGGAGAGGAGAGGAGAGGAGAGGAGAGGAGAGGAGAGGAGAGGAGAGGAGTGGTGAGGGGAGGGGAGGGGAGGGAAGGGAAGGGAGTGGAGGGAAGGGAGGGAGGAAACAAACAATCCCAGTGAGATTATCAGTTCTCCTAAAAGCAGACATGCGGTCACTCATCGCAGATGTGCATGTATGTGAACCTTTCAGCCTTCAGATTTCCATCTCCTGCTCTTTGAGGGATCCCCTCCTAGTCTTCGGCCTCCAGGCAGGGCCCCTTGTGCTTTTCCAAACTAGAATGGTTAGCAGAGCGCACAGAAACAGGAATGCAAATTCAAACAGAATTGGCTGTTTGCTTATTGGAAACTCTTCTAGTTCAAATATTTGGAGAAAAGCAGAAGCAGCAGAAATTAAATAGTTTGAGGATTATCTATACATTTCAAATCCTACTAGAGCATGACTTACAATTTCCTAAAGCGTTACCGCAGATGAACAGAGACCTAATGCACAACAATCTCCTTCACAAAGGCCCAGTGTCCTTTAACAACTGCAGGAAATATCCTCGATCCAGATGTTTCCTGTATAGACAACTCAAGCAACCTGTCAATGTGATGTGCTCCGAGTTAAAATGAACCCTGCATAATTTGATCAAAACAGAAGCCTTGCACCCTTCTGTGGTCAACACTCATCTCCGCCCTCGCTTGGAAAGTGGCTAGTTCAACTTGGTGCTCTGTGTAATCAGAGGGTTTCCTGGCTGTGCTCAGGCAAGGTCGCAGGAGATATTAGCAAATAAACTGATTCTAAATTTGAAATTACAAGATGATTCTGTGAATTATAAGAAAAGTGAAAAGCCCTGTGACTGACTCTACATGTTCAGGCAGGCCTGTCCTAACAAAGATACGCAAATCAATACACTGGTCAATTATATATGAAATTAAATCAATTATTCAAGGCCCGTCTAACCCCTGGATATCCAATATTGGCCCTTCTCATTTCACTCACATCTTAGTCATTTTACTTTCCATTAACAGTGGAAGAGAGAAAACAGAAAACAGAGATAAAACCCTGATCCCCCAACTTAATATTTGGTAGCATTAATTAAAAATTTGAATCAAGTGTCACTATTGGAAGTTCTAACAGTGGAGTAAATTTCAATGTTTATACAACTTCCATCTCTTCTGTGAACAGAAGACTAATGGCTGTGAGAAGGCACTGTGGAACACCTAAGAAAGGGGGCCAGTGGACGAAGAGCACAGGGAAGTCTGACGACAGAATGTCAATGTTACCTGCATTAACACAGTCATGAGCTCCAGATATCAACTGTTACAATGTATAAAGGAAGAGAACATTTAACTCAATCCTTTTTGTAAAACATTTCTCTATCAGCTCATCTTCTCTTTAGACTCTATCGGATGATACATACACGTGGCTGACTACAGTAAAGCAGGTAGCCACGTTTGCACTGTCCCTAGTAATGGTCACACAGAACAAAGGCTCACAGACCTGAGGAACGACAAGAAACACCACAACTCAAAACAAGAATCATTTTCACACCTTTTGTTGTCCAGTTATTCTTGGTCTGAGAGAGAGAGAGCCATGAAGGGTGTTCTGTGTGCTCCACCTAAAACCTGCACAGCGCAGTGGGCTCTGGGGCCAGGGAGAGAGCACCAATCTGAGACTGCCAAAAGCTAGTCAGACAGCTGGAAACACACCCTGGTTATTGGAGCTGCAGGCGAATCCCTCTCTCTATAGTGCTTTAAGGCTTGATGAGATCGACTCCCAGAAAAGTTTATCATCCCAGTTTCACTCACTCTTCTCCCCCTAAAAACACATGTTCAACTAGCAAAGAACTCTTTTTGCTTTTCTTAAATAAACAAATAAATAATTCTTTCATTTATTCAAACTATGAATTTAGAGGAAAATCACTTTCCATCTACCCCTTTCTATTTCTCTTCTCTCTTCCCTCCTCTCCTCTCTCCTTCCCTATTTCTCTCTCTCTCTCTCTCTCTCTCTCTCTCTCTCTCTCTCTCTCTCTCTCTCTCTCTCTCTCTCTCTCTCTCTCTCTCTCTCTCTCTCTCTCTCTCTCTCTCTCTCNTCTCTCTCTCTCTCTCTCTCTCTCTCTCTCACACACACACACACACACACACACACACACACACACACGGGCAGGGGGGAGAAAGAGAGACTTTAGAAGCTTATGTTGAAACTTTAGGTTGACTGATTGTGATCAGTCAATTCCTCAAAGTAACTGGAAGATACATGATTATGAGATAGGGAACTTTAGAGGAGGTTTACAGTGGCTAGATTACTTTAGCAACTCCCCCTTACTTGTAAACCTATTCTCTTTAGTTAAACACAGGGAAACAAAACAAAATCAATGCCATATCAGACAGACCTTGGACTCAAGCTCTTCTGTCCTCTTTCTTCGGCTTCCTCAGGGCAGGCATTACCAGCAGGCTCCCACATCCTGGTCCAGACTGAGTGCTTACTTTCTAAGTATGGACCATCAGCCAACAGCCATTCTGATGTAGCCAGCAATACAGTGGCACACAGTCTTAGCGGGGCCTGTTTTTTTTCTCCACCACTTGATGTTTCTCTACTACCCAGACCATCAAATGCAAAACTCTATCAGAGTAGAGAAGTGAAAATCCAAACCTGAAGAAAATGATTCTATAATCCTACAGTAGGCCTAGATGCTTCTAGTAAAACAGAAAACACTAGAGTAGGCCAAATATTCGAGGACATCTGTTTAGTTTCAAATTTTTAGATAATGTATTTTTGACTTAGTATTCCAGTACAAGGGAATTCCGGCCAAATATACTCCGTAAGTACAAAGTGAAACGGAGAAAATAATTCTAAAAGACTATTTCAGGCGTGGATAATCTCTCTGCTGTATTATTCTTTGTCAAAAGTTGAACGATGCCAAGTATGGTGCCTCACACTTGTAATCCAAAAGCAGGGAAGCTGAGGGAAAGAGCTGCTATGAGTTCAAGGACAGCCTGGGCAGGGTTTCACATAAGGAGAACCTGTCTCAGGAAACAAATAAAAATAGAACAAAATAAAATGTTAATTGATATGTGACCTGCAATTTGTTAACATAACAAATGGAGACTATGTCCTCATTATACCGCAAACGCATGAAAATTTAATATATATTTGGATTAAAGCCTGCTAGATTAAATATACATGAAAAAGACCTGAATGCCCACTCATTAATCTCTTTCTGTGTCATAGATAAAAGCAAAAACACAGTCTGGATAAATAATATATTCAGGTGCACAGAAGTTGAAGGTATGAAATCTTCCTGTGCTGTATCAGCTGACATAAAGAATATTTATTTTTTTCGGAGCATTTACACGTGTATGAAGTATGAAATACTACAACTAAATTACTGATGAATCTTTTGACATGCCAATATGAAACATATGTACGTTTGAATGTGTTTGTAATAAAGTGTGCTGTCCCAGCCTATCAGTGTGCACTTGGAATTGACATTAGAAACAGCGCAGCGTCTGTGTCTCATTACAGCCCACAAGGGTTCCGGAGAGCCGTGTTCACTTGGGGGTTAGTGTTGACTCATTTGCTTGATCTTCCACAGAGCTCAGGATGTAAGATCATTCCAATATGTACCTGTGCCATGGGACATACACGAGGGGAAATGCTCTGCTCTGCATTATGTTAGCACAGATCCCTGCGAGCACATCCAAAAACTTTCTCTTCCTGGGGTGAGGGGGGAGCCTCTGGAAAAGCTCAGCCATCTCCCTTGCTTTTCTGTCTATGCTTGTGTATGTGTGTGTGTTCATTTAAATGTTTTATTGATTCCTCCAAAGGGAAAAAAAAGTATTACAAAGTATTTTAGACTATTTGGAAATGATTGAAAACATACAAAGCAGAAAGAAAAACCATCTAATTCCAACAATACAGACAGCCATTATTTATAAAAGTTCTGCTTGTTTCTATGAATTTTTTCCAATAGTTTGTTAAAAAGTTAAGAATGATTTGCTTCCATAGTGTTCTAGGAACCATGAATCAACTTATAAGAGAATATCAGATACAAGTGGTATTTCTTTTCCAAGCAGTTGAATTTCAGCTTGGCGTAGAAGACGTCCTCCTTCAGAGACTATAAAGAGCCTGTGAGACGGGAGCAACATGGTGAGAAGTTGAGAAGAAACAGCTGTGCTGCCTACCTCGTCATCATCCGCATCATACTGCGCATAGTGGCGTTCTAGCAGTTCCCTCTGGCGCCGCTCCTGCTCCAGGGTCTGGCTTATCAACTGGGCAACCTCACTCACTTGTCCTGGTTTTTCTCGCCCAATCACAAACCTGTGGAAATGTTAAGAGAGGGTAACGCAGTCACAGTCAGCCAGCTAAGGAGAATGGTCACACTCAAGCCAGTGCAGAGTCTATTTTGACTAGAAAGCACTACTGCTGATAACTAAGAGACGATCGGTTTACTCAGCCAGGGAAACACTTTCCACACACAGCTAAGCAAGAAAAAGAAGGGCAAAAATCAGGGACATTCCATGAAGAATGAACACTCAGGCAAGTCATAACAGATGCAATCTGTGCAGTACTTTACACATTTTGATGACTCAAGAAATGGAAGCCAGGATGTAGTCACCTGGACCTGATGATCCAAAACATTTCTATAACAATGTCCTATAACATTGCAAAAAAAGCATTTTGTAGCGGGCCCCACATTAGGTGCTAAATGGAGGGACACTGCCTTTTGCTGAGTTTCTAGGACTTTGTTGATAAGAAGAAATAAAAGGGTTTTATTGCAATTTGTTTTTAACAAAAAAATTATAGAAAAAGGTGGGAAAGTGTGTGTGTGTGTGTGTATGTGTGTGTGTTTGAAAATGTTAGGAAGACAGTGGATCAAAAAACAATGGGAAAATATCTGTTGGATATTAATTCATATAAGATGCTAAGTTAAAAGAAATAAACTGGAAAAACGTTAACTTTCTTTAAGTCACATCATTTATGATCAGCCTTTGTCAGTATTATGTGTTTTATATAACATGGCATATTCTTTCACATGAACATATGATTCTATTTTCAAAATGCAAATAATATGCCTATAGTATATGGTTTCTAAACACCACTTAGAATCATTATTTTAAATGTGATGCTCAGTCTTTTCTATGCTTAATTGTTAAACATATCCCCTGACTACAGGATGTTGTTTTATTCAGTCTTAAACCATGTAGATCACCATTTTCTGTACAAGGACAATGAAGATCAAATTATTTGTTCTTAGATGTTTCTAATTAATTCCTTTCCAAAACACTTTCATACAGTTTCCAACAGACCAGACTTGGCTTAGAATCAGGCTCGCATGTTCATCATCTCATTTCTCTTTGGGAGTCAAGTATAAAAAGGATCCTCCAGATTTTCTTTGTCAAATATAATTCATATTCAGTAATACACAACTATTTTAAATGTTTGATTCAATAAGAACAACAAACACAAAGGCCCATGATCACTATATCAATGAAAATATGGGCAAAGTCTATCGACCCAAAGCATTTCCTTATATTGTTTTCTAGAAAACTTCTTCACTCTGGTTCCACACTAATCTCTGGGAGTTTCACTTAAATGAAACTGTGATTTCTCAGAAAATTAGGAAACAACCTTCCTCAAGACTCAGCAATACCACTTTCAGGTATATACCTAAAGGATGCTTAATCGTGCCACAAGGACATGTGCTCATCTATGTTCATAGCAGCATTGTTTGTCATAGCCAGAACCTGGAAAGAACCTAAATGCCCCTCAACCGAAGAATGGATAAGGGAAATGTGGTATAGTTACACAATGGAGTACTACACAGCTGAAAAAAAATGACATCTTGAAATTTGCAGGCAAATGGATGGATCTAGAGAACATCATATTGAGTGAGGTAACCCAGACCAAGAAAGACAAATATCATATGTACTCATTCATAAGTGGCTTTTAGACACAAAGCAAAGAATTATGTCTACATAATTTAGACATAATTTACAATCCCAGAGCACCTAGACAACAATGAGGACCTTAAGAAAGACACACATGGATCTAATCGACATGGGAAGTAGAAAAAGACAAAATCTCTTTAGTAAATTGGGAGCATGGGAACCATGGGAGAGGGTAGAAGGGGAGGGGAAAGGAAAGGAGAGGAACAGGGAAAAATGTATAACTCAATATAATCAATAAACACACACACAGAGACTGTTTTTGGCAAACACTGGATTGCTTTATTACACTGTGCAAATCAGTTGATTTTACATTTGTGAGACAACTTCTAGACTTTGCAGTCTGTGCCACCCAGATGTGTTTATACTTTTACCTATACAACACTCCTACGATTGTTACATAGTTAATTTTTCAACTAGGTTTTAAGTTCTTGACCTCTGTGTGTCTTTCCTCTATATTTGCCTATAGAGGTTATAATCAGCCCGGCACTTTCTCCAGGAAAGCACAGCAGGGTTTGACCTGGAACTGTTTTTTTTTTTTTTTTCTACAGATTCATCCTTTTATTAGCCATGGTTTCAAAATGCCTAGTCAAAAAGACCAAAGCCTGGAACTGTTTTGAACAGCCATCCTGACAGTATGAGCTCATGTGGTCCATGAACATGTGACGTCTTTCTTAATTTTTACTTTCTCGGATCACAGGCCTTAAGCAATTGAGTATCTCCAAGCAGTTTGTGCTTTCTGAAGTAAATGTGATATTTTTTTTTAAATTTTAGAATGTTGAACTATAACTGAGTTCTAAATATTGGCTTTGTGTTCTACAATCTACCTATACTAAATCACTATTTCTATGAGTGTTCTGTAGATATCTTAGCATTTTTTAAAGTAAGACTGTATCCACAATTTAGAAACACAGTTTGACATATCACTTCCCTCTGTTTATCTGTACCTGTTTGTAAGGATTGACATCTTTGTTTCCTATTATTAAAAGACTGCTCTGGATTGCCCAAAGATGCACAGGATGATTTAGTGAGAAATATTATAGTCACTATGATAAGATACTTAACATCGTTAGCGCACTAAATTCATCTTGATATGTGAATTGATGTTTTCATAAATACATGTTTACCAGAACTTGTGTCTCATATTACACATATAAAGAAATTAAATAAAAAACCTCATATCCTAGAATGGCTCTTTTAGACAAGCCTAGATTGGCCTTTTATGTGTATTTTTAAAAGAATATTTATTTATTTTATGTATTTGAATGCTATTCCTCCATATATGTCTATGTACCGTGTATGTGCCTGCTGCCCACAGACATCAGAACATCAGATCTTGTGGAACTGGAGTTATGGATGGTTATAAATCATCATGTGGATGCTAGGAACTAAACTACAGTCCTCTGAGGGAGCACCAATTACTCTTTGTTGAGGAATATTTAACTGTGCAAAGATATGTTGCATTTAACTATGTAAAGGTATGCTCTGTTTGTTTAATGATGTTAAATGTGTTGCCCTTTTACGTTGCCTGTCTAAGGCACCTGACTGGTCTAATCAAAAGCTGAGTGGCCAATAGCAAGGATGGATATACAGGCAGAACTTCCAGGCAGGGAAAGTAGGAGGAGGAATTTAGGCTTGGGTAGAAGAAAAAGAAAGGAGATGACAGGGGCCAGACAACCATAGAAGGAAGAAGCAGAATGAAAGAAAGGCAAAAAGCTCCGAGTCAAAATGTAGTAGATGAATAGAAACAGGTTAAATTAAGGTAAAAGAGCTCCTCACAGTAGGCTCGGTTCTCATGGACCTGAGCCAACTTCCAGGGCAGCATGGCAGAGGGCTTAGCTGCTACCCTAACAGTTTAATATTTGCCTCACACAGTTAGAGAAGGCTACAGGTGCATAGTAAAACAGGTACAGACTGAAAAAGAATCTAAACCGTGTGTAGGTGCTTAACAAAGAAAAGAAAGTTAGTATAGACAAAGGAAAACATAAACAAAGATAATTAAGTAAAGTCTTTAAAGAGTATAGTAACATAAAAAAAAAAAAAAACAAGCCATGTGAAGACAGGAAATACACAGGGGATCTGGATCCTGTCTGGTATTTGTTGACTTTGAATTTTTGATTGCTGATGAGCACACGAGAGCTGCTGAGAAACATGGGGCTGTATGTTTCTCATACATACAGCAGAGGAACTGCTGGATTAAACCAGTATAGAAACCTTAGGGATGTCTTAACTCCAAAAGGAAATTCAGAAAATGTACTGCATTGGGAGAGAGTTTATGCTTTTGCTTCCATAGGAAATGAAAGGGTGTGGATTCCTTCAAACTTAATAAAGACCAAATTTGACTTGGAAAAGCCCTGAAAATCTTGGCTACAGATAATAAGGAAATAAACCTAAAAGACAGGAGATGTGTATGCTGATCCCTTGATGTGGGAACAGCTCTGAGACTGAATGAGACATAAGATGTCTTGTTCACATAGCCCTCATGACTTATCATTACATGCCATCCTTCATATGGCATGGATAAATGTTTGCTTATCCAGTCCAAATAACTTATAAAGTTGACAGATATATTTTACTTGCTCATACATAACACACATACACACACACAAGCTTTTTTGGCTGGCTTGTATACAATGTGCAGTCCATACTTGTGTTAGTGCAGATATGTACATGACCTTTGAAAGTTTGTGTGTTTTCAGAGCAAGGGGACCAAACACCAATGAATATGGTGGGCCCAAGTGATCCAGCCTTTCAGAGCACCTCTGTTGAAGTGTCTTCAGAGTTCTGCATTCAGAAAACTTCAAGGCTGCTGGCTGAGATGGCCCAGTCTCACAGATTAGTACCTTAAGCATAACTATATGGTCTATTTAAAAACACATTAAAAAAATTTGTGCATGGCGGCATACGCCTAGGATCTCAGCACTTAGGAAGTATAGAAAGGACACTCTTTGGGAGTTTGAGGCCAATCTAGTCTATATAGTGAGTTCCCAGCCAGTCAGAGTTAGATCATGAGACCCTATCTCCAAACAAATGAAACAGTAGCAACAATACACGAGGATTGGAGAGATGGCTAAGTGGTTAAGCTTTTAACTCTGCATAGCCAACCAACTTGCAAATAAAGACATGAAGATTTATTATTTATTATGAATGCTCAGCTCTTTTTACGTAATTCAAGCTGTTTCTATTCATCTACATTTGCCTTGGTATTTTTTACCTTTCTTTCATTCTGTATGCCCTACTGTCCTGCTTCTTCCATGTCTGTCTGTCTGGCCTCTGGTGTCTCCCTGTTGTTTCCTTTTCTTTCCTCTTCTCAAGTCTAAATTCTTCCTCCTACTTACTCTCCCTGCCTTGATGTTCCTTCTATATCTCTTT